AAGAACTTTTTTGTGAAACAAGTGTGGTTGCCTTTTATGTTTCTTTACACGGAGGTCTCAAAACTCCTTTGCCATTTAATCTGTAACTATCTAGAATCATTTTATCATTTTCTGGCCACCAAAGTGTCCAAATTCTGATCTACTGTTTCCGGTGTGTAACTTTAAGTTGTTTCTGACTTAGATGAACCTTCTTGAAGATACAGCAACACTTGCATATTTATTTATTTATTTATTATTTATTTCCAGTATTTCTACCCAAAGGTCAATGCCCATCAAAACTTTCCAGTATTTTCTCTTGGTCATGGGAGTTCTGTGTGCCAAGTTTGGTTCAATTCCTTCGTTGTTGGAGTTCAGAATGCTCTTTGATTGTAGGTTAACTATAAATCCCAGCAACTACAATTCCCAAGTGACAAAATCAACCCCCCTCAACCCCAACAGTATTCAAATTTGGGTGTATTGGGTATCTGTGACAAATGTGGTCCAGCAAATGAAAATACATCCTGGATATCAGATATTTAATTACAATTTATAATTTTAGCAAAATTACAGTTATGAAAATAATTAGTTACAAAAATAATTTTATGGTTGAGATCATCAGAACACGAGGAACTGTATTAAGGGGTCACAGAATTAGAAAGGTTGAAAAACACTGTTCTGAAGTCTTGCAGACCAAAAGGTTCAGTAGCCATATACCCAGCATTGTCTGGGTTTGCATTTTTGTGGCTTTCTTCCCTCCCTTTTCTTCATGCACCTTGTGTCTTTCTCGTCTTCCTTCCTTTCCTTTCTCTTCCCCCTTTTTCTTTCTTCCTTTTTTCATCCATTTTTCTCCCATCCTTTTTCTTTCATTGCCTGTTCCTCTCTCATACATATCCTCCTTTCCTGTTTCTTCCTTTATCTGGTCTTTTCTTGGCAGGGGCGCAGCTGCGTATGAGCTGAAGCTGATAGTAAGCACTCTTGACTGTCAACTTGGGCTGACCTTTGGAGAGATGAATCTAACATGTAATATTACTAATAATATTACAATATAATTGGTATAGTACAATATAGCAATATTTAAAACTGATATTGTACTATGCTAATAATATAATATATTGTATGTATATAAACCTTGTAATCCACTCTGAGTCCCCTTCGGGGTGAGAAGAGCGGCATATAAATGTCGTAAATAATAAATAAATATATTGTACAGTAACATTATATTGTAATATTATTAGTAATATTACATGTAATATAAAATATATAATTATAATATTGCAGTATTATTATTAGTAGTATTATATAGTATTAATACCTCACTACCTCTGAGGATGCTTGCCATAGATGCAGGCGAAACGTCAGGAGAGAACAAGGCCATACAGCCCAAAAAAACTTACAGCAACCTAGTGATTCCGGCCATGAAAGCCTTCAACAATACATTATATTATTAGCATAGCACAGGAGACAAGGTGGAACTGTCTTCCGGCCCCCTCAATTCACTCTGGTCCAGAGCAGCCATTGGTGCTGGGGGGGGGGGGGGCAACTGATGACATATGCAGGAGATGAAATTGAACTGTCCCCTGCCCCTCTCTCTTCACTCTGGCCCAGATCAGCAGTAGGTGCGGGTTGGGAGGGGTGCTCAACTGATGACATATGCAGGATTCTTCTTCATGTTGAGGTGGCATCTCCTTTCTTTCCTGTAGTTTGAAGACATTGTTCGATTGCATCTTAGTCTCCAGGGCAGCAGAGAACAAGCTTGCTTCCTCCTCCCTATAACTTCCTCTCACATATTTATCCATGGCCCTCATCCTGTCTCCTCTCAGTCTTCTCTTCTTCAGGCTAAACATGCCCAGCTCTTTAAGCCGCTCCTCATAGGGCTTGTCCTACAGACCCTTGATCATTTTAGTCGCCCTCCTCTGGTCACATTCCTGCTTGTCAACATCTCCCTTCAATTGTGGTGCCCAAAATGAGACATAGTGTGATTCCTGGTGTGGTCTGATTAAGGCAGAATATAATAGAGAGAAACATGACTTCCCTGGATCTAGACACTAGACTCCTATTTATTCAGGTCAAAATCCTATCGACTTTTTAGTCGCCGCATGACATTGTTGGCTCATGTTCATCTTCCTGTCCACAAGGACTCCAAGTTCTTTTTCACATGTACTGCTCTTGAGCCAGGCATCGTCCCCCATTTTGGGAGCCGCCGGTGGCAAAGTGGGTTAAAGCGCTGAGCTGTTGACCGAAAGGTCGCAGGTTCAAATCCGGGGAGCAGCGTGAGCTTCCACTGTCAGCCCCAGCTTTTGCCAAACAAGCAGTTCGAAAACATGCAAAATGTGAGAAGATCAATAGGTACTGCTCCGGCGGGAAGGTAACGGCGCTCCATGCAATCATGCCGGCCACATGACCTTGGAGGTGTCTACGGACAACGCCGGCTCTTTGCCTTAGAAATGGAGATGAGCACCACACCCCAGAGTTGGGTACGACTGGACTTCATGTCAACAGAAATCCAACTGTCCCCCATTCTATATCTTTGCAAGTATTTCAACAAGGCTATCACGTCCCCTCTTAACCTTCTCTTCTCCAGGCTAAACATATCCAGTTCCCTAGGTCACTCCTCATTAGGCATGGTTTTCACACCTTTAACTATTTTGGTCACCCTTCTCTGGGCATGTTCCACCTTGGAAATATTTTCACTTGGGTGACGTACAAAGAAACCTTACAACTGCCAAACAACTTTTACAACCTTACTTAAGTCAAAGCAATTAAGCTCTCGAAAGCAGAAGAACAGCAGCTTTCAAGGTTTTTTTTTTTTAAAATTAAGCAATACAGGCAGTCCCCAAGTTATGAACAAGGTCAGTTCTTGAGTAGAACTTGTCAGTAAGTCAGAACAGGGCATAAATTAAAAAATTTTTTTTACATTATTATTACTATATTTGCAACTTCAGCCACACACACACACACAAACTTATATATATGTATGTATGGCGGAAGCTGCACTTATTATTATTGCAATTTATTTTCCATATTATTTCATAGAATCATAGAGTTGGAAGAGACCTCATGGGCCATCCAGTCCAACCTCCTGCCAAGAAGCAGGAGTATTGTATTCAAAGCACCCCCGACAGATGGCCATCCAGCCTCTGTTTGAAAGCTTCCAAAGAAGGAGCCTCCACCACACTCCGGGGCAGAGAGTTCCACTGCTGAACGGCTCTCACAGTCAGGAAGTTCTTCCTCATGTTCAGATGGAATCTCCTCTCTTGTAGTTTGAAGCCATTGTTCCGCGCCCTAGTCTCCAGGGAAGCAGAAAACAAGCTTGCTCCCTCCTCCCTGTGGCTTCCTCTCACATATTTATACATGGCTATCATGTCTCCTCTCAGCCTTCTCTTCTTCAGGCTAAACATGCCCAGCTCCTTAAGCCGCTCCTCATAGGGCTTGTTCTCCAGACCCTTGATCATTTTAGTCACCCTCCTCTGGACACATTCCAGCTTGTCAACATCTCTCTTCAATTGTGGTGCCCAGAATTGGACACAATATTCCAGGTGTGGTCTAACCAAGGCAGAATAGAGGGGTGGTATTATTTCCCTAGATCTAGACACTATGCTCCTATTGATGCAGGCCAACATCCCATTGGCCTTTTTTGCCACATTAACTTGTTGTTCACAAGGACTCCAAGATCTTTTTCACGTGTACTGCTCTCGAGTGAGGCATATATATATATATATATATATATATATATATATATATATCTTGTAAGCCGAGCCCCCGGTGGCGCAGTGGGTTAAAACACTGAGCTGCTGAGCTTGTTGATCGAAAGGTCGCAGGTTCGAATCCGGGGAGCGGCGTAAGCTTCCGCTGTCAGCCCTAGCTTCTGCCAACCTAGCAGTTCGAAAACATGCAAATGTGAGTAGATCAATAGGTACCGCTCCGGCGGGCAGGTAACCGCGCTTCATTTATTTATTTTGGTTGCTTCTATCCCGCCCTTCTCACCCCGGGGGGGGGGGGGGACTCAGGGCGGCTTACAAAAGCGAGGCACAATTCAATGCCCACATCACATACAGCAAAAGAAAAATACATCATGCAGTCATGCCGGCCACATGACCTTGGAGGTGTCTACGGACAACGCTGGCTCTTTGGCTTAGAAATGGAGATGAGCACCACACCCCAGAGTCAGACATGACTGGACTTAATGTCAGGGGACTACCTTTACCTTATCTTGTAAGCCGCTCATGTAAGAGCGGCTCACAAGATATATATACATACAATATATTATATTAGAATAATAGAATAATAGAATCAAAGAGTTGGAAGAGACCTCATGGGCCATCCAGTCCAACCCCATTCTGCCAAGAAGCAGGAATATTGCATTCAAAGCACCTGACAGATGATAGGTCAAAATCCCATCGACTTTTTTAGTCACCGCATGACATTGTTGGCTCATGTTCATCTTCCTGTCCACAATGTCTCTCGAGCCAGGCATTGTCCCCCATTCTGGGAGCCCCTGGGCAGTTGAGCTTGTTGACCAAAAGGTTGCAGGTTCGAATCCGGGGAGTGGTGTGAGCTTCCCCTGTCAGCCCCTGCTTCTGCCAACCTAGCAGTTTGAAAACATGCAGAATGTGAGTAGATTAATAGGTACTGCAATGGCGGGAAGGTAATGGCACTATTAATAGCATAGTACAATAGCAGTATTATACATTACTATATTGTACTATACCATTATATTGTAATATTACCAGTAATATTACACGTAACGTAAAATATATAATTATAATATCATATTATTATTGTATTGTCTTTCATTATAATTATTATATGTATATACAATATTTTATATCTATCTATATAAACTTTGGAACACCGTGCCTCGTTTACATTGTAGAATTAATGCAGTTTGGACAACTGGTTAGCAGCTGTTATGGTTTTGCAACCTGGCGTGGCCCTGCCCCTTGGCAAGCTGACCTGGCCCCGCCCCTTTTCTAAGCTGACCTGGCCCCGCCCCTTTTGTAGCCTGTCCTCGCGCCCTGCCCGCGCGCCGCAAGGAAACGGGCGCCACTGGGCATGCGCATGGCCGTCAGCTCTCCCTTTCGCCGCCTTTTCGCTGCCATGGGGGAGGCCGCTTTGCCCACGAAGCTCACGAGGATGCCCAGCCAAGCGGAGGCCCTTCCCGGGAGGAGCCAGGCCCTCTTCCGAATCCTAGGTGAGCGGAGGAGAAGCACAACCGCCGCTTTCGCCTTCTGAGGGGGAAATGGCGTGAGGCAAATGGAGGAGGTGCCCTTTGCGCATGCGTCTGGGAGGGGAAAAAAATAAATAAATCCCACAAGCACCCCACGCATGCGCCGTGCGCTTTTCGGCACGCCTTCTCAGTAGGCATGCGCAGAAGGGAGTCTACTTTTTTGTCCTGGACTACATCTCCCAGAGTTCTTTGCTATGCTAGTTGTGGGCTGAAACTGTATTAGTATTGTATTGTATTGTATTATAATATTAATATTATGTTACTTTTTTAAAGAAAAATTTCGGAATTCTTTTAAAAAACAAAACGCAAAACCCCCCTAAAAACAAAGAGTTTAGAAAAAAAATTTTCCGTAGTTGCCCAGCCCTTATATATATATATATATATATATATATATATATATATATATATATATAATGTATACTATTATATAAAAGCCGGGTTGCAGCTAAACGTCAAAAAAACCAAGATTATGGCAACAAGAATGATTGACAACTGGAAAATAGAGGGAGAAACCGTGGAGGCCGTGACAGCCTTTGTATTTCTAGGTGCAAAGATTACTGCAGATGCAGACTGTAGCCAGGAAATCAGAAGACGCTTACTTCTTGGAAGGAGAGCAATGTCCAGTCTCGATAAAATAGTGAAGAGTAGAGACATCAGACTGGCAACAAAGATCCGCCTAGTCAAAGCCATGGTATTCCCTGTAGTCACCTACGGATGTGAGAGCTGGACGTTAGGGAAGGCTGAGCGAAGGAAGATTGATGCTTTTGAGCTGTGGTGTTGGAGGAAAGTTCTGAGAGTGCCTTGGACTGCGAGAAGATCCAACCAGTCCATCCTCCAGGAAATAAAGCCCGACTGCTCACTGGAGGGAAAGATACTAGAGACAAAGTTGAAGTACTTTGGCCACATCATGAGGAGACAGGAAAGCCTAGAGAAGACAATTAGGCTGGGGAAAGTGGAAGGCAAAAGGAAGAGGGGCCGACCAAGGGCAAGATGGATGGATGGCATCCTTGAAGTGACTGGACTGACCTTGAGGGAGCTGGGGGTGGTAACGGCCGACAGGGAGCTCTGGCGTGGGCTGGTCCATGAGGGCACGAAGAGTCGGAGACGACTGAACGAATGAACAACAACAACATACTATTATATATAATAGTATATAATATTATATGTATATTTTCCTCATAGCACAATATTAGTATGATATATTACTATATTGGCCCAACTTACCTGTCCGAACGCATCTCCCATTATGAACCATCTAGGACCTTAAGATCATCTGGGGAGGTTCTGCTCTTGTTACCAGCTATGATGTCCATGGAGATGGAATCTGTATTCCACACACATCTCGGCATAGAATCATAGAATCAAAGAGTTGGAAGAGACCTCATGGGCCATCCAGTCCAACCCCCTGCCAAGAAGCAGGAATATTGCATTCAACATCCAGCCTCTGTTTTAAAAGCTTCCAAAGAAGGAGCCTCCACCACACTCCGGGGCAGAGAGTTCCACTGCTGAACAGCTCTCACAGTCAGGAAGTTCTTCCTCATGTTCAGATGGAATCTCCTCTCTTGTAGTTTGAAGCCATTGTTCCGCATCCTAGTCTCCAAGGAAGCAGAAAACAAGCTTGCTCCCTCCTCCCTGTGGCTTCCTCTCACATATTAGAATCATAGAATCAAAGATTTGGAAGAGACCTCATGGGCCATCCAGTCCAACCCCCTGCCAAGAAGCAGGAATATTGCATTCAAATCACCCCTGACAGATGGCCACCCAGCCTCTGTTTAAAAGCCTCCAAAGAAGGAGCCTCCACCACACTCCGGGGCAGAGAGTTCCACTGCTGAACGGCTCTCACAGTCAGGAAGTTCTACCTCATGTTCAGATGGAATCTCATTTCTTGTAGCCTCTGTTCCCCATCCTAGTCTCCAGGGAAGCAGAAAGGAAGCTTGCTCCCTCTTCCTTGTAACTTCCTCTCATATATTTATACACGGCCCTCATCATGTCTCCTCTCATCCTTCTCTTCTTCAGGCTAAACATGCCCAGCTCCTTAAGCCGGCCCTCATAGGGCTTGTTCTCCAGACCCTTGATCATTTTAGTCGCCCTCCTATGGAATGCTCTCCCTAGGGATATCGGCTCGCCCCCTCCCTTTTAATATTCCGGAAAAATGTCAAGACGTGGCTTTTTGAGCAAGCGTTTGCAAATGCAGAGTAACTGACATAGGAAAATGGATCGACTAGGCAATGAGACCAAACAAAGTTTTTGACAAGGAGACACTATGGATTTATGTTTTGATTTTGTTATAGTTTTTATTATATGTTATGTTTTAAATTGTATTTATGTTATTGTTGGCATTGAATTTTGTGCCTTGAGTGGGTTGAGAAAGGCAGTATACAAATACAGTAAATAAATAAATAAATAATAAATATTGTACTATACCACTATATTATTAGTAATATTACATGCAATATATAATATACAATTATTACATTATTATATATTATTATATTATGCTATGTTATTATACCACAATATGTATAAAATACATTACCAGTATAACTATTAGTATTATATAATATATTTACTATATTATGAGCCGTAGTGTATATATTATATTATATTACAATATTATTAATGTTATATATAATATATTAGTATTATTACATTATAACTACAAGAGAGGAGATTCCATCTGAACATTAGGAAGAACTTCCTGACTGTGAGAGCTGTTCAGCAGTGGAACTCTCTGCCCCGGAGTGTGGTGGAGGCTCCTTCTTTGGAAGCTTTTAAGCAGAGGCTGGATGGCCATCTGTCAGGGGTGATTTGAATGCAATATTCCTGCTTCTTGGCAGGGGGTTGGACTGGATGGCCCATGAGGTCTCTTCCAACTCTTTGATTCTATGATTCTATGATAATATAATGCATTACATTCTTACATTACAATTTTGCAGTACAACTGCTTGTGTAACAAGCGTTGTGTTAACTTCTGATGTCTCTCCCAACTTTTTGGTCTTCCAGGTTTTGAGGCTTTCAGCTCCCAGAATTCCTAACAGTTAACCAAAGTAGATGAGGATTCTGGGAGTTGTAGTCCACAAAACTTAAATGACCAAAGGTTGGGAACTCACTCGCTATAATATTTGAAGTCTTCTTAAACAGGAAGGTTTTAAAGAGTCACTGGGTGCTGCGTTGGATTTTAATTATTTGAACAGTTTCTGACTCTGAATATGTTTTCAACACTGTTTATATTTAATCCTCTTTTAATGTTTGCATATTTGTATATTTCAAATTGTATGCTAATGTTTTTATGTTTTTTCAGTCTCCTGCAGGAGAGAGAAAGCGGGGAATTATTATTACTATTAATAATAATAATAATAATAATAATAATAATAATAATTGATCTGATGTGGTTTTAGCTATTTGTTTTGTTTGCATATTTGTATTTTTTAAATTGTATGCTTTTATGTTAAGCCACTTAGAGTCTCCAGCAGGAGAGATAAAGCAGAGTATACATACATATAATAATAAATCTAATAATAATAATAATAATAATAATAATGGATTCGATGTGGTTTTAGCAATTTGTTTCTAACAATTCTATGTTTAATTCTGTGTTTTGAGGGTTGGAATGGTCATTGGCGTTGTTTATTGGGAGGTGCTTTGAGTCTTATTTAGGATGTTGTTGTTCATTCGTTCAGTCGTCTCCGACTCTTCGTGACCTCATGGACCAGCCCACGCCAGAGCTCCCTGTCGGCGGTCACCACCCCCAGCTCCTTCAAGGTCAGTCCAGTCACTTCAAGGATGCCATCCATCCATCTTGCCCTTGGTCGACCCCTCTTCCTTTTACCTTCTACTTTCCCCAACATAATTGTCTTCTCTAGGCTTTCCTGTCTCCTCATGATGTGGCCAAAGTACTTCAACTTTGTCTCTAGTATCCTTCCCTCCAATGACAGTTGTGAGGTTTTAAAATATAATAGTCTAGTATTATGACTTTTAGGTATATTTTGCATTTGCACATTTTTGCTTTTGAGTTGCAAACTGACTAGGAGAAAAACCGTTTTATGTTTGTTGTTGTTGTTGTTGTTGTTGTTGTTATTTATACATCACTTTTCCTCCCCAAAGGGGACCATGTTGTTGTTATTGTATTTATATCCTGCATTCTTCTCCTAAATTGGACTCCAAACTGCCCACAGCGCTAAAAACAGTACAAATTACAATGCAAAACATAGCACAAATAAGCATTAAAATAAAATTAAACATCAAATTGTGGAAAGAAACACTTTAAGGTGTTGCCTTTTTATCTTCTTTTCAGGTTTTAGTGTACTATCATATACTGAATGAAATGTTTTATTCTCTATCATTCCTTTTATATTCTACTCCCGTTTTATTATTGTATTATGTATCTTTGTTGCATTTAATTGTATTTTACCTCCTGGAGAACTTTGCTTAATAAGCAGTTTTAAAAGTGTGTTCAATATACGGACAGAAAATGAGCAGGTTGAACTTTTAATAGCTCATTTCTCCAGATTAGAGGACATAAAAAGGCATAGGGAAAAGGACCCATTGAATAATAATTATTAGAAGACCATCTGATTTGCTTTTCACTTAGCAGAGCTCTCCAAAGGCTGTCCCAATGATCAGTGAAATGCCTTCATTTGATATTTGCAGAAGTAAGCCACCCATATTGCATGCATGCTCTCCAGTTTTAATTTCTCCTTTCTGCCTTTCTTGTTTTAAATTTAAATACCGATTTTATAATTAGTTGATATGACTTAAGAGTTAAATTAAAACAGTTAAGCCCATGAAATGATATGGTAACTTGCACCACCAAGTCACACCTGTGACTATTTTTTTGAGGTGGGAAAATTAGAGTTCATTGAACTTCTAAAAAAACATTATTTTTTATTCTAGAAAGAGGCAAAATAAAACACCAAACAGGTATTTTAGATATATAAAATTACCAAAACAATACAGCTACATAT